TAGATAAGAATATTAGAGGATATATATATATATATATAGTTTTTTTTTTTTTTTTTTACAAGCACACAGCTGTGGAAGGGCCCAAGCCATGAGTACTTGACACAATGAAGAACAGAGTTCTGGCAACCGTGACAGGCTGCCCAGAGGTACACGCCTTCCCTCTGCAACAAAGAGCCAGAGGTCCCAGGTAGCAGCTGAGAGATTCAGGTGCCCGATCATGCTGGCCAGGCCCTCAGTACACAGTGGAAACAGCTGGCCCTGACTGACTACCCCAGACACAGCCAGCCCTCTGTCCTCCTGGTACGCTCAGTGCAGATGGCTGGGTTTCATTCACAGAGAGGTGTTTGTGTGTTAACCAAAAGGAAAGCCATCCCCGACAAGGGGGACCCAGCCTAGCACCACAGCTACGTGGTAGTGTCTCCTGCTGAGCATAAACAACTTCACAGAACAGCATCGGACAAGACCACCTCGGGACTACGGTGGAGCAAGAAAAAACAACCTCATCCACAGTCATACACAAATACAGGCAAAAGGAAGGACATTGTCCAAACCACAAAAATAACCAAACATCCCCCCATCCTCACACAGGCCAAATCCTTTTCTAACACCCTTTTACTGAGATGCCTGTGGTTCCCAATAGGGCACCATCTCCACCGTTGTCAATCAACACAACTTGGCTGACTATAGACAGGCTTCCTGTGGTCTTTGGCTGAAGAACACTGTCAATATCAGTGACAGCAGGCCCAAGACCCAAGTTGTGGCTGGTGACCAAAGTCAGCTTGCTGTGGACTTCAGCTCTGATGGATGACTGTCATTTTCTTCTGCCTCACTGAAAATGAGGTTCTGCTTTACTCTCTGGATGCTTGGGCATGTGGCTGAGCGTCTCTCAGGCCCCAGGCGCCAGCATCACTGAAGAGTCTCGATTTGGGGAAGAGGTCATTTGTCCATGCACCAGGGTACAACATTCCTACCCACGTCCTCAGGCAAGACTTTCACAATCATACTCTGGAGGAAATGAAACTTCATGTTGGTGGTTTCGTGAAATGTGGATTTAACACATTTCAAAGCTCATGTCTATGCTTGTGAGTTTAAATCTCGAGAGCAGAACTAAGTAATTTGTCTTTACATTCAGAAGTTCTATTCTTCTAGGCATCTCTTCAGGATACTAATTGCAAAGTGAAAAAAAAAAAAAAAGAATCACAGATATAGCCATCTGCGTGCAATTCTGGAAATGTTTTATCCTTGATTTTTCTTCATTTGTCTTAACATTCCCGTCCTCTACTGCAGGGAACTCAGGCCTAGCAGAGAAACTAAAGGGAATGCACTAGAACCTCCATGACCCACACTAAAAATTGTCACAATCCCTGAGATTCTACCTGTGCCTTCCATCAACAAAAGTCCTTAAAATGCCCCAGGGAAAGCTCCCAGCCAAAAGGAACCCTGGATTGAACCTTTTCTAAATGAAAAATCCTTGGGTGAGATTGATTATTTATTTTCTCCTCCCATTTACGATGTTTACTACAGATTTTGGTGAGCAAGTAAAACCCTTGGAGTTCCTTTTTTTTTTTTTGGTGGAATAGGAAGGCAGCTTTTATTCAGGAATACCAGTGACCTGAGGAGCGATGTTGGGCTAACCCATCTCTCCTGTAAACCTGGAGAACAGCCAGACTAAAGCCATCTCAAAACTCAGATTTACTGAGGGGTTTTTAAGAGGGGACTGAGGGAATGGAATGTGGAATGTGGGAAATGAAAAGCAGGAGGGAAGGGGACGTGAGCTGGGGGGGGGGCTCTGTGCAAGGAGCCAGGTGCGAGGTGTCACCAAGGCTCCGTCTGGTTTCTGTTCCCATCCTTGGTGTGTTTCCTTTTGGAGGGCCGTTTGTCTCATTACCTGCATAGGAGAATTGCGGAGTGCATACAGCAGGTGTGGGTTGTGGAGATTTAGAGAGCTTCTGGACCTCTTCTTTCTGCAGCCCCCACACCTCTCACCAGCTGCTCCCCACCTCCCACCCCCCATGCTGTCGGGCACGGGGCAGATACAGGGAGGAGACATTGCAAAACTAGCCATCTCCTTTGCTTTTAATGTCAAAATCAAGCTTCCCTGAGCAGCCAAAGAAAATGCCTTTCTGGAAAGTCTGGGGCCTTGAATACTGGAAATGGGAAGTCTATATAGTTCCACATCTGCATCGGCCTTTCTGTTTTTTTGTTTGTTTGTTTTTGTTTTTTGCTGCTGGCCTGTACAGGAATACGAACCCTTGTCCTTGGTTAACACCACACTCCAACCAACTGAGCATCGGTCGGCCTTTCTGGTCGGCCTTTCTTAAAGCAAGGCCTCTGTCGTAAATGAGTGGATGTGTAA